AAATTAAGTCACATCTTATCAACAAAATCTTATCTTTGTAGAGCTTCATATCTCATTGTCAAAAAAAAAAACTATATTATAGTTTACTAATGCTTTATAATTTCAAATTTTTTTTTTTTACAAAGCCAATATATACAAAAGATGTTATTTGCACAATGATCATGAAATAAATTTTAGAATTTTCATAAAACCGAAAACTGATCCAATCCAAACCAAAAAAAATTGGATTCGATTTGAAAAAAAATCCAAACCGAATGGATTATTATATGATCAAACGAATGGATTTGATCGGATGATTTTTGCTTCCAAAACCGATCCAATCCAGACCGCGAACACCCCTGAGGTAGAGTCCCACTGAACCCATTGGAAATACTTTTTATATCAGTGCTCTCCCAAAATAAATAAATACACTTTATGGACAGAAATTTGAATCCCTATTTATGATTTCTAGCTTTAATCATTCTTCTCTTATTTAGCTTAAATAGAAACAATTATATTGAAAGATGAATGGAGGAATAGTAAACACCTTCGTTTCGCATTTTACTTCTCCTGCCTTTTCACTGAATATATATCAGTCGTATCGAATTTCGGCGATAGGAATGTTGAAAATTATATATGGTGTTATAATCAATAGCATGTTAGTAAAGGGGAGAAGAGAATCGCTTAGCTTTACAAGGAAAAGCACCATTTAGTTTCATCTTTGCATTTACCACATAAAAACATAAATCACTAAGGGTGCAAATCTTTAAATTTTTGTTACTAAATTTGATTAGAAAATCATGTTCAAAGTACACAAAAAACAAAAAACCTTAGTTTTTATTATTTTAATTTTATTATGTGTAAAATAATATATAATACCAAAAATATTATAAAAAATTTATGTATATCACAATTTATTTTTTTTTTGAAATTATATCACAAATTTTTTTGGAAATTATATTTATGTAATATCTGTGTATATGCATCAATCGCGACCTGAGAGTCTTGACATGTTTAATCACCGTATCTCTAGAATTGGTAGTTACACGTACCTCTTTTTATTCTCTGTTCTTCACCCTTTTGAATTTATTTCACAGCTTCATGGAGAGATGTAAAATTTTCACTGTGAGGCATAAAGTTTGTGTACTTTTCTTGCATCAGAGACACGACAGCTGTTAAACACAACTTGTAGGGCCATATTAACACCACAGGAGAAGTGTCATAGGAATGAGAAATTGATGATACGAGAAAATGTCTCATTTTCTTCTTTCTCTATTTTTCTTTCACCTTTTTTTTTTTCTTTCCAATGGATGGCTAGCACCACATACAGAGTAAAGAGAGTGTCTTTTGGTTGAGCGCTAGGGGTGTTAACGGGCTGAGCCGAGCTGAGCTTTGATCTTAAAAGGTTAAAATGTGTCGGCCTTACTAAGCCTGTTACCTGTTACAAATATAATTATCGGTCTGTGACTGTCTTATTTATAAAAAATAATAGCTTGATTTAGCCTGTTAGAAAAAAATAAGACAATAAAAATTTATTCAAACAAAATATACAATCAACACCACTAGTAATTCGATAAATATTCATAAATTCAATATATATCCAAACAGCATAATATAGAACAAAATCATTCAAAAAGTCTGGTTAACTAATAAAATATGGGTGGAATAGATTGAGAGGTGAGAGATGAATATTACAAATAGTATAAAAAATTAAATAAAAATAAAAATTAATATACTAGGCCAGCGTGAGAGGCTCCAAGATCGAGCTTTTGAATTGGAGCATGTGGCCTTTTTACTAAATGAACTTTTATACAAGTCCAAGTCTGGTTCCAACAATCAATATTAGGCATGTAAGCTCAGGCCTTCACGAGCCGAGCCAAAGGCCCCTGGCTCGTTTATCACCCCTAACTACAGGCGCACCCATCATCTGATGGGATGGTGTATTTACATTATGTATTACGGTTATATGAGTTTGGTGTTTGTCATTTTAAATGACATAAGTTATGTCATTTTAGGAGAGAGATAGACACAGAAAAACGAAAATCATGGGAGAGAGAAAGTGGATGGTTTTTTTAATTTAAAATTCAAATTTTTCGTGTCTCTCTTAAAATGACATAACTTTCTGTCATTTAAAATGACAAACATTTTTCCCGGTTATATATAATGTAAAATATAAAAGTTATTTTTTTTCTTCCTCTAATATAATATAATAGACACTGACGTTTCTATTGGTCCATTTTATTTACACTTGTAATACCCTAGATTTTTTCCTTTTGGTTTGGTTTGGTTTTGGAGGGTTTTTGCTAGCTGCTTGGCCATATTAACACCACAAATCACGAGAGAGAGAGAAAATTAGGTTACGGTTGTAAAACATAATAATAATAATAATAATAAAAAATCAATTACTATTTATATGCAATTCCATTCCTGTAGTGGAAAATGACAAACCAACCATAGATGTCAGGGTCCAGAAATTAAAATATTTGTGCTTCATATAATAATGTGCTATCCCTTATGAATTTTTTTTTTTTCCCTAGTTTCAATAGAAATCTTAAAAAAGGGTAAGAAATAACTAAACAAGAAACGAAAATGCGTAGAGAGAGATGTCATCAACCAAAAAGTAATAGGTTCTGGTCATACATAGGGAAAGTAAAGGAAAATCAAAGGAAGTTTCAGTATGGTTATTTATTTAGTCATTTTAGTGTCTTTATTTACCCTGATAGCATATATCAGTAATCAGATTCTGGAATAATTTTGCAAATTTCAGCTTTGAAGCAAACTGTTATGACCTATTTGTAATGTGTGGGTATTGGAGTCCCACATTGATTCCATGCTAACTAATGTGACATCAAGGTTCTTATCACAAACTTAAATCAGCATGTAAACTTATAAGTCTTGTAAAAAAAGTCATATAGCATGTTTTCTAAATGATTTTTATTTTAAAAATATGTTCTAGTAAGCCACTAGGACTAGCCTAGTAATGAGGGATGGGTGTCGTGAATAATAGATGCTGTGTTTGATTTTCAATGTATTCAAAATATATATATATTCTATTTTACTCGCCCTTTTACACCCCATCAGCGATGATCCCACTGCAACCTAAAGTATTGAAATATTCAATTTTTTCCATTTCACATGGCCATACCATGTATGCACAGTCCATTCATGAAAACCATATTCAAGCATAGAAACTTAAAATAGACAGAATATCCAACAATTTGATCTATATCTCAAGGGCTTATTTATCACTAGCACTAATTAAAGAGACCAACCCGCTTCATGAGCTTGCTCACCAGCTCGTTTCGACTGCATGTAAGATTGTTCCTTGGCCACCTAGGTACTTTACATATAGATGTTGTTCTTTCTTTGTATCATTGAAGCATGTTTATCATGCCAAATTGTCAATTTAATATTTCTCAGTGACCTGTCTATAATTTTAAATCAACATCAGAAATATTTTAAGCACCCTTGATTAGCAAGAAACTGTGATTACGAGAAAACAGTGATGTGATAAAGTTGAACTGAGGAAACGTTTTGTATCAACTATACTCCTCCTTTGAAAAGAACAAAAAGATAAATTAAAAGGTAAACAAGAAGATAATCATAAGCAATGGTTCAGAATATATAGTTTTTGGGTGAGCCTCAATCTGTTAGAATAATTTGAGATAAAAAGATGGTGGGATCGATAAAATTTTCAGGTGTTGCAGGACCACCAATTTTTGGATGGTCCTTTTTTTCAAAATGGAAAAAAATAATTCTATTTAAATTCTTTCATTTTTTCATAATTCTCTCCCAATCTTTTTTATTTTTTATTTTTAAAAGGGAGTATGGTGTTCCTGACCTTAGTACACAGTGAACATCATCTTAACCTGCGCTATATATATATATATATATATATATATATATATATATATATATATGAGGTAGGATCATTTAATATCGGTGTCAAATTTAAAATTTGACACTTTATCTGAGAGCCATTAGATCGAAAAAGATCAATGGCTCTGATTGTGAGCATGTGATACCATTGATCTTTTCTGATCTAACGACTCTCAGATGAGGTGTCAAATTTTAAATTTGACACTGATGTTAAAGGATCCTACCTATATATATATATATATATATATATATATATATATATATATATACATAGGGCTTAACATTTCTGCAGCAGCCGTAGACAACGCTATCTGCAGCTGACACAGAAAAGTGGGCCCCACCGCTTTAAAAAAAAAAAACAGGATCCGGCAGCGGATCCTAGCTTGTTGTAGGTACAACAGCTGTAGAAATCATTTTGCCATATATATATATATATATATATATATATATATAGGGAGAGGTTATAGTTACTACTTTTTTTTCTTACTACTTGTTACTACCAAATCTTAACCGTTGATTTCTGTCAATCTAGTGATTATAATTTATTAGAATTAATAATCAATTAATAAATGAGACCCAATAAATTATAAGGTTTTGTAATTCTCATTCAACATGAGAATTAAAATTTTCCTACACACCCTTCGATTTCCGTGCTGACATGGGTCCTAAATATAATTTTTTCTAACACATGGGTCCCACATGCTTTTTATCTCTACAACATGAGAATTGAATTCTCATTCAACATGAAAAAATCAAACCCATAAATTATAACCATTAGATTAGCGGAAATCAACGGTTAAGATTTGGTAGTAACAAGTAGTAAGAAAAAAAGTAGTAACTATAACATTTTCCATATATATATAAGGCTTATCATTTCTCAAGCTGCCGGAGATAACTTTATCTCCGACTACTAAATCATAACCGTACAAAGATGATCAACGATGATAAAGGAAGAGAGAGAAAAAGGGAATCATAACCATTCAAAGGTAAATCAATAAATATAAGGAAATAAATAATCAAAACGACATAGTAGTTTTAGAGTAGCCAGAGATAAACTTATCTAGAAATGTTTTTCTTATATATATATACATACCATCTCCACCCAAATACACATGGGAAGGCCAAGTTAAAAGGAACTTGTTAACTTCTCTTACACCACAATTGTCACTTCCATCACCACCAAAAGACTACAAATCCATCTCACCTTCTTTAGCCATGCCACAAAACTGCATAGCACCTAAACCAGAATACAGCAATAGTATCCCTGTGGAAGAGCCACCAGAGATGACCGAGCCCCATAACTCAATTATCCTTTCCTACCCCATTCAAATCAATGAACAATCTTTACCAAAACTCACTATGTACCCAATAACTTTGAAGGTTATTCCCTTTCATAAAACAAAACTTTCGTTAGTATTATATGCCACTACATTGAATTCATAACAACACCATATATATTCATTCATGTGGGATAATATTATTTTCTATATTTTTTAACATCTTTCTGCTTTCATTTGCAGTTTGAGGAATTGACATACAAAGTTAAACTAGAGCATAAAGGTCTATGTTGGGGCAGCACATGGAGTTCAACAGAGAAGGCCATATTGAAAGGGGTTACAGGTATGGTTTTCCCAGGAGAAATATTGGCTATGCTGGGACCATCTGGTAGTGGAAAAACCACACTTCTTACAGCTCTTGGAGGACGTCTTGGTGGTAAATTATCAGGAAAAATCACATACAATAATCAACCTTTTTCAGGCTCCATAAAAAGAAGAACAGGTTTTGTGACCCAGGATGATGTGCTATACCCTCATCTCACTGTAACAGAAACTCTAGTCTTCACTGCACTTCTAAGGCTACCCAACAGCTTGACAAGGGATGAGAAAGTTCAGCATGTAGAACATGTTATCAATGAGCTAGGACTAACTAGGTGCAGGAGTAGCATGATTGGAGGACCACTTTTCAGAGGAATATCAGGTGGGGAGAAAAAGAGAGTGAGTATAGGCCAGGAAATGCTCATCAATCCAAGCCTGTTGCTGCTAGATGAACCCACTTCAGGTTTGGACTCTACAACAGCACAAAGGATCATAAACACAATTAAAAGCTTGGCTAGTGGGGGTAGAACTGTTGTCACCACCATTCATCAACCCTCTAGTCGCCTTTACCACGTGTTTGATAAGGTGGTCTTGCTCTCTGAAGGGTACCCCATTTATTATGGCTCTGCTTCAACTGCCATGGAGTACTTTTCATCACTTGGTTTTTCCACATCCATGACTGTCAATCCAGCTGATTTTTTGCTTGATCTTGCCAATGGTAATAATAATTTATTTTTCCATTTAAGGCACCACTTTTATTTTCTATTTATTATGGCTCAAATTATAATCATTTTTGTTGACATTTTGAATGGTGCCTGGGTTTGAATCCCAGACACTTCCTATTTGCAATAATTCAAGGATAAGACTGCTTACAACTCCTACACTATAAAATCTGAGTTTAATTGGGAGTGATTTTGGATTCATGGGCAACTGAAAGTGGAGCTCTTATTGTTTCTTTACTCAGTTGAATTATAACGAGACCCCACTTTCAATTATATCAAAATTTTTACTGAAGTTTACTTTGTAAACTCTAGAGGGAACTCATGGCTAGTTTAAACAGAACCATATTGTTGGGGGTACACATATTTGTTTCTCCTTAGTTATACACATTTTCATTAAGAAAGCAGTGATAACAATGTCATGATAAAAACTAAAAACTGCAGGGATTGCCCAGGAAAACATGCATGCAACTGAACAAAGTGAGAACCAGGAACAAGAAAGGAAGCTGGTGAGAGAAGCTCTCATCTCTGCTTATGACATGAACATAGCTACAAAGCTGAAAGCTGAACTTTGCAGCTTGGAGGTGAACAACCACAACACCACGAAAGATGCTACAGCAAGTAGGCGTTCTAACTTTTAATGAAAAACATTCACATGCATTTCTTTCATAAGTTACTGTTTTGTGTTATTAAGTCGTCTGAAATACATAAATTGTTGCAGAAAATCACATAAAACCGGAGCAATGGTGCACAAGTTGGTGGCATCAATTCAAAGTATTGTTGCAGAGGGGCCTGAGGGAGCGAAGGTATGAAGCCTTCAACAGGCTAAGAATATTCCAAGTTGTAAGTGTCTCTTTCCTTGGTGGACTGCTGTGGTGGCGCACACCAGAATCACACATTGAAGACAGGGTAAGGGGTTTCTTCAAGTTTATCGTTTCTCTTTTCACCCAATTCACATTGAAAACCATACTAGTCCGGTTCATGCATTGAGGGACACAAGTTGTTTACTAAATCTTGAGAGAAACTCACCTTAGGAGAGGCCAAAGTTAATATAAATCCTCCATCAAAATCTTATGTTTGTGGTGTGAGACTTTCCTTACAACTGAATCATAACAAGTGGTTTACCTAATATTGGATAAGGTCAATGGCGGAGCCAAAAGAAAAACTCAGCCAATGCCAAAAGACCCACCAAATAGAATTCAGTTAGTATTAAAGTTGTATTATTTTTGAAACTCAACTAATATTAAAGTTGTACCATAATTTTTGAAGAAAATATATACTATTTTTAAAAACTAAGGCACTACATACAAGTGGCTCCGTCACTGGATAAGGCTATTATCCAAAGCTGATGGGCCCATCACACGGGTCATAACAATTTTTCTTTTTGTAATCGTGTCTAAATCACATCATTTAAAAGTCCCTAAAATCTAAAATACAATTAATCTTGCTTGGTAAGAGGATCTAATATGGGGTTATATTTGTAACACAGATCGCCCTGCTATTTTTCTTCTCTGTTTTCTGGGGATTCTACCCCCTCTACAATGCTGTTTTCACATTTCCTCAAGAGAGAAGAATGCTAATCAAGGAACGGTCATCAGGAATGTACAAGCTTTCTTCCTATTTTCTAGCTAGAACAATAGGAGACTTGCCACTAGAGCTTGCACTTCCAACTGCATTTGTCTTCATAATCTATTGGATGGGAGGGCTTAAACCTCACCCTATGACATTTGCACTTACCCTTCTTGTGGTTCTTTATAGTGTCCTTGTCTCTCAAAGTCTTGGCTTAGCATTTGGTGCTATTTTGATGGAGGTTAAACAAGCAACTACTTTAGCTTCTGTGACAACGCTTGTATTTCTCATTGCTGGAGGATACTATATACAACAGATTCCTCCCTTCATAGAGTGGCTCAAGTACTTAAGCTATAGTTACTACTGTTACAAGCTTCTTCTTGGTGTGCAATACAGTGATGATGATAAGTATGAGTGCTCAAAAGGGGTGTTGTGCAAGGTTGAAGATTTTCCTCCAATAAAATCAATGGGTTTCAATCATCTGTGGATTGATGTGTCTATTATGGCAATTATGTTGGTGGGTTATCGATTAATTGCTTATTTAGCACTACAGAGAGTGAGGTAGTGATAAATTGTGGCTGAGCTTCCATAGACATAACATGAGAACTTGAAAGAGTATTGTCCTAGTTGAACCGAGGAATAATAATGGAATATTATGCTTTTGATGGAACTAGTGACGAAATTTTGATCAACTCTCTCTCTGAGTTGGATGTGTCACAATTTAGTTATATATTTATTTTTGCAATTTTATGAAACACCAACTCCTGAGTTCTACTTTAGAATAAATTTCCCTCTAGTGCCTAAAGACAAAGGATATGCCACATGATAAGAAGCAACGATAAGAACATAATGCATTTTAATCTGCAAGAATTAATGGTTAAAGATTGCGACCAGACAGGCTCAGTAACTCAACTTTTAAACATTATAAGGCCTTTGAAACCACAAGCTTCTTGTTTCAAATCTCCCTGCATAATTTGTACCAGAGAGGGAAATTTTCAGAATATTTATTTTTTTTCCCAAAAGGCAGTATCGACTTGACAGACAGATATTTCTAATTCAATGAAAACTATCAAACAGTTTTATTCCACTTTTTGCTCAAAACTTGTAACTATGATGCCTTTAGAAAGTTGGAAGCTTGAGTAGATCTATTAAAATTGAGCCAACCACGTGGAATGCATCAATTCAATGATGTTGAGATGATGGCAGGATAAGAAGCCTAATCAAAATTATGATTTACCTTAGTTAATGCACATGATAAAGAGTCAAACTAAAATAATTGGTGACTGAGTCTGCAAGTGGGCACGTGGCTAGGTGTTCTAAGCACGGAAGCATAGTGCATTATTCACTCTAAATCACTTTGAAATAGAACACAGAAAAGGGCTACATATAAATATATAATTCTGCACAAACAAAGTAGCATTTCAAACAGGTAAACTATAAGCGTATAAAAAGGCCTTAATGAGTCAAAGTTAACCTTATCCAACCCCAAAATTTAAGACTTTTGATCTACAATATTGAGTGTCTGTGTGTTGAGGTAATTCCAAAACATATTCTTTTAACGTGGCCTCATGCTTTTGCTTATTCTACAAACAAAATTCAAGTTCAACCAAACAAACCAAGAGAATTTTAGACTTGCAGGAAGATAAAGTTGAAGAGATGCAGTCACAGCACCACTGACCTAAGCATACAAAAACATAACGAAAAGAAGTAATGCATGGCTGTAAAAATATGCTGTTTGTTTCCAGCAATACAAAAACAAAGAATAACTGAAATTGAGGAATATAGCTTAGTCACGAGAGAATCATAATATCCTCAAGAATTGTTGTTAACTGCATTTAGTTAATAATACTGAACATTAAATTGGTCAATAAGTAACCAAAAAAGATTCAAAATCTGGTTTAGGAATCAGATACCACAAGATATCAGCAAAAATATTGATGGAAATTTAGTTCATAGGTTGTCCAAATTCATGAAATACAAGGAGAAACCATCCAAACATTTCACGTGTGAGTGGGACCTAAGAGGGGCTTCATGCATTTTGAGCTTGAGAAATCAAGGTGAATGATGCTATGCTTGCGGAACATTGCACATATCCAAAGTGTCGGATGCAACCTATACGGAAAGTTAGTAAAAATTGACATATATTTGTTCGAAAGGTATATTATCAAAACAAGAAGTCGACAACCATATGCTTTTGAGAAATTCTTACTTTTAGAACACGTTACACGGGTGGCGCACACCAAGTTACATGCAGTCCTGAGTCCTGACATGAGTGACATATGGTACATGTACGCCTCAAACTCAAATTTACTCTTAATAGTTTTTTTTTTTTTTTTTTTGATAAATTATGTTTATCTTCCGCCGGAGGCAATCCTATACGAGTCAGAAACGTATACATTATGGTGGGGCTAGTTCTCCCAAAGGAGATTATTTGCATTAACAAGAACTTGAATGAAGACCTTGCTTAAGCGGAATCAAGCATATATCACTTGAACCAACCATTTGGATAAATTTACTAGTTCGTAGAATACATGCCAACACATGTAATTTTATCTCGTTTATTTCCTAAGGGGGAGTTTGGTAGAGGAAAAATAAATTTTTACCCGAGAATCACGATTCCCAAGAATATAGTAGGAAAGTGAATTTTCCGAGAATATTACCAAAAAATTATTTGGTAGGTCAAAATATTTCCGGGAATGTTGGGTCGATTGTCGTGATATTATTATTATTATTTTTTTTTTTATAAATTCGTGATATTATTTTTGGTTGATTGTAAAATACTGTTGGGAATGTGAGGTAATTTTACAAAAGTAACATTATCCATCATTTTCATTCAAAACTTTTCCAACTTAAAATTAAAATAAAATTCAGAAAACAAAATAAACATTCAGCCAAAAAAAATCCGAGGATCATTGAGTAGAATCATCAACTTCAACAAGCAACACTATGAGCACCATCCGAGGTAGAAACTTCTACGCAGAGGCATTGTGGTGCTCGTTGCTATGCTCCCCTAGTGTCTGCATCATCCCTTTGTCACAGCTCAACATCGTCGCCACTTAACCCATTTTCAAACAACTTGCTATATAAAAAATAAATTAGAAATCGCATCAAACATGAAAGCCCTGAAAATAGAAAGATGAAGGAAGCAGAAACAAAACTAACCTCATGCTTTAAGTCTTAACTTTGAGCACCGAAAATATCTGAAAAGTCGGCTAAAATTGAGTGGAAGTAAGAAGAGAGAGAAGCAGAGGAAGCGGTGCAGTGATGAGGGTATTTTTGTCCGAAAAATGTTGAAAAATATTCCCACCGAGTGGAAACCGAAAATACCACCCACTGGGTGGTATTCTAAGAAATAATTTTGCTTGACAAATTATTTTTATGTGAATCTGATTTTCTCAGAATTTTTTTTATAATCTTCGTAGGGTAAATAGGATTCCCAAAATTAGTTTTTCAAAAATCTAAAATTTATACACATACCAAACGCCCCTTAAAATTATGCACCCTTAACATTATTTCACACAATCGACCATTTCACATTTCCTTTGGAGTAACCTGTGTAACTACGAAATTGCATGTGATTAGATGATATGCTTAATCAAATGAATTAAAGTTACTTTTGGGTAAAAGTGCAACTAGTGAGAATATTGGGATAAAAATGCAATTAGACAAAATATACCTAAAACTGAAAAATAATGTAACGAGACATTATAAAATTCATTGGTGAATGTTGGAATTACATGAAAATGCCTAAGTCTTGAATTGTAAAGGTCATACGATGAAGGGTTAAAATAGTAACAAGCCAAATAGATATTTGTTAGAAAGTTGACGAAGTCAAATATGCTTAAGGCTTTGATTAAGTGACTAGTCTTTCATTTCCCTTCATCTTCTTCAAGCTTTTCTTTCTCTCAATGTAACATTTCAAATTTTAACAATTTATTGTAGCATAAATAATTTCAATAATTTTTATAAATAACAGCGGAAGTTCAAAATAATCAAATTTGGGAAGTGTTACCGCCGTACTTGTACAATGGACAAGTGCAAGGCTAAATTTATTACATTAAAATAAAACCAAAGACTAAAGTTTAAATAAAGGAAATATGTCTTATGTATTTATTTAAATCTCATAAAATTTCTAAACTTAGGAACTAGCTAGAAATATCCGAGTCGTGATCCTCACTGCCCACAGCTAGCCCCATCCTTTGCAACATGCTTCACTGAAAATCTGCTCCCCCGTGAAGGATCATTGCAGTTAAACAAACACAAAAGTCAACAAAGCTGGTAATCCAAATTCGATATACAAAAATAAATAAATAAATAAACAAATAAAAAATGTAACTCATAATAATCCAAAATAATAATATAACTCAAAAATTCAAATCAAATATCAACTTGTTATTAATTATATTAATCTTTATTTAATTTAGTCTATTTAATGGGAAGAGAACCATGGTAGACCCGGGGAACCCTGCCAGTCTACCCTGTAACCCGGGAAACCCTGCCAGTCACAAACAAATCACTTTGGCCATAATCAATTCACATCTTCCTAGTGTGCACACCTCTTCCCAAAGTTGCTACTAGTATCCCGGGGAACCCTGCCAGACACCACTTTGGAAAGAACGGATATAATCTTTTTCATATCAGTTTCACATCGGAGGCATAAAGCCCAAAAGTTGTGTTTATCACTTTGGGAGGTACCATCCCAAAGCTATTCTCCCACTATTAATTTTTTTTTATACAGACATAACAAAATTTCCCAATTTATTTCAAATATATGTAATATCTATTTTCTGCAGCGAACAATTAATTTCCAATTTACCAAAACATATATATATATATATTAGTGCCTCAATTTATAAAGTACAGCACAGAATATAAAAAAAACAATTGAAACTAAATTCATATAACTAAAAACATGTATTTGAAATATGTTCATCACGTAAACCGAGAAAAATAACATTGCAAATATATGCATATAACTAATTTGCAAATTGAAAGAAACGAATCAGGCATCTACTTTAATGGAAAGTGACGCACAAAAATCGAGAAGGAATTTTTTTGTTTGTTTTGTGAACAATGTTTACATATATAAAACCAACGACCATTACCATTTGAATTCAATTAAAGAATTGCACATAAACCGAAAGAAATTTGCAGCGAAGGTATACATGCAGTTCCGAGTTCGGCAGAAGCAAATTGAGAAAAGATTTGTAATCGAATATATATATGCAGATAGTAATTATCAACAAAAATTGAATTTATAACGAACGTAATTATATATACAAGTCAACATAATTATTTGGGATTAGGATTACATACAATATATTTCATATAAGACAACCCTATGATATATTTAGGATCATAATTATCCTATCAAAATTCATATAAAATTAACCTAAGACTTCTAAGGATTAGGATTACACATACCAAATTTCACATAAAATATAATCTAAAAATACCTAGGGATTAGGATTACCTGGTCTCCGTTTTCGCTAACTTCTAGAAGAAAAGAGTAATTTGGGGCAGAGAACCGGTTGAAAATAATTAAAATAAACTTTTTGGAGTGAGAAGAGAGAGAGTAGTAGAGGAGAGTGAATTGGTTTGGTTAGGCTGGGTCTCTA